AATATATTAAGGAACCATCATAAAATTAGGACTATTTTGGGATTTTTAACTTTTTGATATTTTCTTCCCCAACTTTGACTATCTCTGGTGAAAAAAATGTACTGAGCTATAACTTTACATTATATAAAAAAATTGCCCATTTAATAAAGATTTCAGAATCGTGCCACTCTTACTGTTTCGAATAGAAAAAAAGTTATAGCCGCTTTTGTGGGCAAAGGACAGACACGCTAGAATGTATTTAATAGATTTAAATTTGAGTTACTCTTGTTACCGACCAATGACATGCTAAATAGTACAAAGGTACATTATTACCTGCTCCTGACATTATTTTATGTTACTTAGCGGAATTAGTAAAAGTGTTATTAATACTATGACAGAGAACACGCAGTATACGTCGCATGAATATGCGGATATTCACCTAATTTACGGTGAAGCTTGCTGTAATGCCAGAGCTGCTCAAAGACTCTATGCGGAGTGATACCCCAATCGTCGGCATCCGGGTCGTGAAGTATTAGAGAAATATATGAAGGTAAGTGATTTTTACACTTTTCTTGTTTTCTTGCTTGTTAACTATCATTTTTCATTTTTTTAAGGTCGCAACAGGACGTCCTGCAACGGTAGATGTTGAAGTTGTGTTAGAGGAGGTGGAACTAGGTCCATCGACTTCAGTGAGAATGATGGAAAGACGGACGGGAATACCAAAAATTACAGTTCACAAAGCTCTTAAATTTAAATCTATTAAATACATTCTAGCGTGTTCTCAGTCCTTTGCCCACAAAAGCGGCTATAACTTTTTTTTTCTATTCGAAACAGTAAGAGTGGCACCTTTCTGAAATCTTTATTAAATTAGCAATTTTTTTATGTAATATACAGTTACAGCTCAGTACATTTTTTTTCACCAGAGATAGTCAAAGTTGGGGAAGAAAATATCAAAAATTAAAAATCCCAAAATAGTCCTAATTTTATGATGGTTCCTAAATATATTTTAACTACATTACATTTGAGTATGGAGAAGCAACTATATGGAAGTATTATACATAAAAAAATTACTATGTATAGCCTGAAAAGGCACGATTTTTTTTATTCAAAAAATGTAAATATTTCAAAAACGGTGACACTTTTACCCGAAAACTTTTTGTTTATCAGGGAGCTCACCCCCCACCTACCTTCCCCTAAAGTTTGGCACGTTACTTCTGGGGCACCCTGTATAAATAGGCAAGCATGAATTAGTTGGGAACAAATTTCTCCTATGTTTCTTAACCGATTCGGATGGTTGTTGCTTTGTTGGAAAGGTGTTTCGGAGGAGTGCACAAACTTTTAACTTTTGCGATAGGTGGCGCAGGGGTCGAGCTATACTAATCTCTGATCTGATTTGCTTCAAACTCAGAATATATATTCGCCACATAAGGATAAATACACCTGCCAAAAGTGAGCCCGATAGGTGCCTCCCAAGTCGAGTTATGCAATATGTTCTCATATCTTATATATTAATACGCAAACATGATTTTTTTCGTACACTTTTGAGGTACTTAATCCCCCATGAACCAACGACTACAGATCACGTAATCCGCCATCGTTGTATTTGTAATCGATTTTCAGAAAAAAGTTTTCGTAGCGTTTTTGATGTTTTTTGGTTCTGTTTACATCGTCTTCTACCTCCTCGTAGTGATATTTTAGCGATTTTATGTGTTTTCTGCAGCGGTTTTAATTAGAAATTATGATTTATTACAAATTTATGATATAATATGAAGTGCTTTGTGATTAGAACAAGTTTGTGCGTCTGTTTGATTTGCCAAGAGGCGTAAATTTGCGTGAAAAGTGGGTGCACATTTGTGGTCAGAACGTTGGCATTGAAAAATCGGCCGGTGCCGATAATATGCGATTGTAAAACACTCTCAATCATTAAAACCATATTTTATGGACTTTTTTTGCTGATTGTCATCAAGTTTCACTTTTTATATTTTATAATAAATACAAATCTAATCGCACTCAATAACCGCGCATTTTTCGTTTTCTTTGTTTGTTTTCATTTTTAGGCAGATGTCAAAAACGCTCAGAAATTTACTTTTTTCATTCTTTTCCGATTGCGTGATCTTGTTAGTTGGTTCATGTTAATCCCCATTTATTTTCATGAAACTCATATCAAAGGAAAGAGGAGGTGGTACAGATGTGTCGAATTTAGTTTTTAACCTTCTAAGAGCCACTTTGAGCAAAATATTACAAAAAAAACTATTTACAGTCCTGATTGGTAGAAGTTCAGCCCGAATATCAGTTAGAGAAGCAACATGACATCTTATATCTTATATATTAATACGCAAACATGATTTTTGTGGTACACTTTTGAGGTACTTAATCCCCATTGATTTAAATGAAACTCAAATCAAATGAAAGATGAGTTGATGTAGATGTGCCGAATTTAGTTTTTAACGCTCTTAAAGCCACCTGGAACGAAAAATTAAATAAAAACCTATATATACAGGCCGATTCTGAACAGAAACTCCCTGGGAGTTTTCTCTCTTTTCCCTTTCCTCCTATCATGAATAGAAATTCCCTGACGATTTTTTATATTAAAGGGCGGAGATGAGCTCTCAAAAAAGTGTCGAACAGTTTTTTTGAAATTCAAATTTCCTCCTTCCAAATTTTCGGGAAAATGCTACTCCCTGGGAGTTAATTATTGGAGGATTTCTTTCTCGGGAGAAACAAATTCCCGGAGAACAAACTCCCCGGGAGTATTAAGAATTGGGCTGATAGTCTCGATTGTTACATGTTCAACCCGAATATTACCCTGTAGGGAAACCCCGAACTGGTGGACCAAATTTGTAGTTCCGTACTAGATCTTTATCGCCACCTCGAACCAGTCCGATAGTAACTAGATCGCCACCAGTTCAAAAGCAGAACTAGAAATCTATATCTAAAATGACGAATTTAGAACTGGTTCGAAACTAAGTATAGAAAAAGGGATGCAGAACGAACTAGATCTCATATGGCGAATTTTGGACTAGTTCGGAACAACCGAAAAGGGATGCAGCGGGGGGCTTGTTTACTTTAAATAGACTTTTGCTTTGCGGGTTTTTCGTTCAAATACGCTCTCAGTCTGCACTTCGCAGATCTTTTTTCATAGCTTGGTAATACAAAACTAAAATTTGTGTCAACACGTTAACATTTTGGGACTTTCTGGAATCTAACCAATAACAGCCAGCACCCCTGCAAATTCAG